TCTAAAATCCTTTCAATCTGTAATCTCATCTCTCTCTTGGATTCAGGAAAATGATTGTTTCAATTGTGATTTTTCTTCCATCTGTGCCTTTTTCTCCTTCTGGGATTCCTATTATTCACAAGTTGGGGCACCTGGATTTATCCGCCAACTCTCCTTACCCTAATACAAGACTCATGAAACCTCCATCTTCCCAGATTCTCCTGTCTACCTTTTCTAAAAAATACTAATAATATGTTAAATATAGTTGGAAATACTATAAAATTTAAATAAGGCCATCGTCCAGTAGTACTAAATAAGAAAAACACTCTTAATTTACTGTGAAACTTTCATAATTTAAAGGACAAAGGAATACCAACAATAAATAAATATGGAAATTATTAAAGAATGGCACAAATATAACAAGTATAAAATTAAGTATTGATGGGCTAAATAACCTAATAAAAACAATTTTCCTCTGAACCTCTTTTAAAATAGAACATCATCCCTATTACTTTCCAAATAATGCAAAATTGTACAAAAGACACTCAGCAATATCATTAATTGCAAAATAAATACAGCATTTTTTTAATCTTTATGTCAGAGAATCTTAAAGTGTCAGAGTCTACAATCAGCTCTTTTTATTGATTTTTCTCCCCTACAACTAAAAATTGGTAACTCCAGGAGAGAATGAAGGGAGATGTTTTCTTCTGAGTGCCATTCTTTAGAATTAAAGAAATTGTTGTGTTAATAATTAAGCATTGTAGTCAAAAGCAAATAGGAAACCCCCTAAAACTTTCATTGGTAAACTTTTGTTCTTTTAAAAATTAGAAAATTTGTTAGGACGTTTTAAATTTGTTCAACTCATTGCAAAAGAACCTCATGTGGGTGAATAGAAATCATCAGGCACTTTACAGAAATAGGTACATCTACACTCACCCCAGGAGTGATGAAATAACAATCCCTGTGCTTCAGAGCATGGCTGATGACCAGCTGGAAGAGAGAAGATATTCCCTATAGTATTTCTATAATATCATCAATTATATTCAGATGTTTATTTTCCTTTAGACTCATTGGGAGACTTTAAAGTCCATTATGGCCAAATAACACAACAGGAAGGTAAAAATCTTCAAAGATTTACAAAAATATTTTAAAGAAATTATTTCAAGAAAAATAATAAACCCCCAGGAAATGTAAGCAGAATAGCATGGAAGTGAACAAAGGTCATTTTGGGGATATTTTATCACACCCAGAACATAGCATAGAATAGAACTCAGAATTTGTTGAATGAATGGATGAATGAACAAATGGATGAATGAACACACTTACCTGTGCCTGGGTCCAAAGCCTAGTCTCACCAATATTGACCTTGAGTCATTTGCTTATCCTCAGTTTACTCATCTTAAAAAAGGGGATAAGTGTGCCCACCTCTTCTTGTTATTACAGGATTGAAGTAGATAATGTGTGTAAGTGAAAAAATCCAGTGCCTAGTGCAGAACGAACAATCAACAAATAACAGTCATTTTAAGAGCTTTCCTGGAATTGATTCAGTTCATTCTTTTTTTTTAAATATATTTTATTGATTTTTTACAGAGAGGAAGGGAGAGAGATAAAGAGCCAGAAACGTTGAGAGAGAAACATCGACCAGCCGCCTCCTGCAACACCCCCCACTGGGGATGTGCCCAAAACCAACGTACATGCCCTTGACCAGAATCGAACCCCGGACCTTTCAGTCCGCAGACCGACGCTCTACCACAGAGCCAAACCGGTTTCAGCTGATTTAGCTAATTCTTGACTAATTAGAACTCACAATTAAATCATCTCAATATATTTCTTTCTTTTTTCTTTTTTTAAATATGTTTTATTGATTTTGTACAGAGAGGAAGGGAGAGAGATAGAGAGTTAGAAACATTGATGAGAGAGAGTCATTGATCAACTGCCTCTTGCACACCCCCTACTGGGGATATGCCTGCAACCAAGGTACATGCCTTTGACCGGAATCGAACCCGGGTCCCTTCAGTCCCCAAGCCGACGCTCTATCCATTGAGCCAAACCGGTTTCGGCTCATCTCAATATATTTCATAATAGATCTAATATACTTACATTGCCTTTATTACAAATCTGTATTCTATTGAGTCTTTGTGAAACCAATATCAAATTTTTTATAGCTTCAGCGTTTTTTTGTTGTTGTTGTTGTTGTTGTTGTTGTTGTTTTATATTTTATTGATTTTTTACAGAGAGGAAGGGAGAGGAATAGAGAGTTAGAAACATTAATGAGAGAGAAACGTCTATCAGCTGTCTCCTGCAACCAAGGTACATGCCCTTGACCAGAATGGAAACTGGGATTCTTCAGTCCACAGGGTGATGCTCCATCCACTGAGCCAAACTAGTTAGGACCCAATAGCATATTACACTACTGACATTCCCTACAACTACTGGCATCATTTATTTTGAACTAAGATACATTTTCTGCTAATAAGCAGACCTCTCAGATGGTTCCTTCGTTTGGGCTAAGATAACAGAATACTATAGACTGAGGAGCTTATAAGCAACATAATTTTATTTCTCCCAGTTCTGGAAGCTGGGAAATACAAAATCGAGGTACTGGCAGTTTTGGTATCTGGTGAGAATATGGTGGAAGGAAGGAAGGGAGCTTTCTTATGTCACTTTTATCAGAACACTAATCCCATTCATGAAGGCTCTGTCCTCCTGACCTAAGCACCTCCCAAAGGCCCCCACCTCCTAATACCATCATCTTGGGAGTTAGGATTTCAAGGTATGAATTTTGGGGAGACATAGACATTCAATCTATAGCAGATGGTATCCTGTGGTAAGGATAAAAAGAGTAACAGCTGCTCACCTTGAAATGTCTAAAGCCCTGGCTTGAGGCTATTATGACTTTTGGCCAAATGCATACAAAAGTCATGGAAAGGATTGTTAAGATATGAGTGGTACTAACTAACACTTCTAACAGTTTCTTAATAATCACCTTCTTGTTTTTAGCAATTATCTTGGGACCCCTAAAATAGATGTATCCTATAGATACTGATGTTCCAAATCCACATGAAGAAATTCTATGAAAACAGAATACATAAGCTTTTGAATGCTCTGAAAGTCAGATTAAAAATAAATCATATAGTATTTGTGGTCAGTATAACTTTTTGTTGTTTGTTTTGTTTTTGTTAATCCTCACCTGAGTATATTTTCCCATGCTTTCTCAGAGAGAATGAAAGGGAGGGGAGAGAGAAAGAGAAAATTTCAATATGAGAGAGATACAAAGACGGGTTGCCTCCCACGGGTGCCCATAGGAGTCAGGAGGGAATCCACAACGTAGGTATGTGCCTTTGAGCAGGAATCAAACCCTGGACCCTTTGGTGTGCAGACTGAGATTCTAACCACTGGAGAACACTGGCCAGGCCAGTGTAACTTTAAATAACAATAAGAACATTCTCCTCAAACAGTGATCAACTGCTGTTTTCATTGGAAAAGGTGTGGTAAGATAACCTAGTTTATTGGACTATTTCTCCAAGGGCGTGGTAATAAAAATTCCTTTTTTTTTTTTCTGGGCAGTAAAATGGTTTTAAATGTAGCTATATGTAATAAAATTATCTCTGTTTTGGAAGATAGAAAATTGGAACATTTCCTAGAACTTAGAGTTTTTATTTCATGAATCATTTGCAAAAGGCAGCCATGTCACTATGTCATTTTACTCAAAGATTTTTCTTCCTTTTCTAAAAAAATACATTTTTATCAATTTCAGAAAAGAAGGGATTGGGAGAGAGAGATAGAAACATCAATGATGAAAATCACTGATCAGCTGTCTCCTGTATGCCCCCTACTGGAGATGGAGCCCGCAACCTGGGCATGTGCCTTTGACCAGAATTGAACCAGGGATCCTTCAGCCTGCAGGCGGAAGCCTATCCACTGAGCCAAACCAGCTAGGGCTTTTTATTTTTCTTCCCCCCTTTCTTTGTTCTCTATCATCAACTCAACAGTTCTGCAGGCAAAGGGCAGGGCCAGGTATCTCCAGCTATGTGTGGGGAGAGGAAGAAGGGTGCTTATTATATGAGGACCAATACTAGAACCCTCTTCATCTTCTTCTCCCGCGTCACCATCACTTAAGGAAAACTTAAAGAACTCACCATTCTGAAGCTGAGCTGTGGTAAATGCTCAGGCCACGTGACATTGAGTAATGTTGATTGGAGCCCAATACTGAGACTCCACAGCGACACAGGGATTTATCCGGAGCTGCTGAACTATGTATGGGAGCTCAACAACAGGCAACCCACTCCTGCCTCGAGGGAACCAGAGGTCCTTCTGGCTCAGGGCAGAGAGCGGGAGAGAACACAGCTATGGGGAGGCAAGGAGCGGGAACAGGGGGGGTGGACAGAGGCACGTTTCACACCTTAAGAAGCCTCTGTGCCCAGCCCAAATGTAAAGCGGAAAGTGAAGGGGCATCGATTTGAATGAATACAACGAGCCTTGACATCGGTCATCTCGTTCAACTCTCTAGGAAGCCGATTATTATTAGACGCCGGGGACTGGGGGTGAGACTGGCAGAGACTATAGCCCTGGCTCCCGGCGGGCGCCCTCAGACGCCCGGGACGCGGGAGCGCGCAGGGCAGGCTCCGGCGGGTTCACCGGGGGGACAAAAGCCTGGCTGCCTACCGAAGCTGCCAGCGGCGGAAGAAGAAGGGGGCGTCTGCCCGAAGCCAAACACAGACTGTGGGCGACAAGCGCCAGCCCCCTCCCACCCTCCCTCCGCCAGCCTCCTCCTCGCTGCGGGGAGGGCTTTCTCACGCCCCCGGCTCCTGGGTAACTGACGGCACCGGAGGTCGGAAGAAAGCGGGGCGAAGAGGGATGAGTCATAGCGCCTAATCATTCCTCCTTCCGAGTCCCCTCGCCCACCCACGCCGGCCCCCTCCCGAGATCCTGCAGCGGGGAGCGCAGACTTCCCCCGTCCTCAGCTCCTCCGCGAATCCGCCAGGGCCTGCGGAGGAGAGGGGAGGGACGGCGCGTCTGGCCAATCGCAGCCTCGCTCTCCTGCCTGCCGCCCAATAGGCCGCTGTTTACAGGCGGGGGCGGGACCAGGAGGGCAGAAGTGGGCGGTCCCGGCTGGCGGGGCGCCGCGGTGCAGAGGCTGCTCCCGGGGAGAGCGGCTTCCAGGTTAGTCCGCGTCTCTGCGCCGCGGGACGCGCCGCCGCCGCCGCCGCTGGCCACGGTGCTGAACGCCGCCGCCCCGAAGACGCCCTCGCCCGCTCCGTCGCCGGTTGCAGCCGCGGCTGCCTCCTCGCTCCCACCCCTGGTCCCCATGGAAGAGATGGAAGAAGAGTTAAAATGCCCCGTGTGCGGGTCCTTCTACCGGGAGCCCATCATCCTGCCCTGCTCCCACAATCTGTGCCAGGCGTGCGCCCGCAACATCTTGGTGCAAACCCCGGAGTCCGAGTCCCCCCAGAGCCGCCGGGCCTCGGGCTCCGGGGTCTCCGACTATGACTACCTGGACCTGGACAAGATGAGCCTGTACAGCGAGGCGGACAGCGGCTACGGCTCCTACGGGGGTTTCGCCAGCGCCCCCACGACGCCGTGCCAGAAGTCCCCCAACGGAGTCCGCGTGTTCCCCCCGGCGATGCCGCCCCCGGCCGCCCACCTGTCCCCGGCCCTGGCCCCGGTGCCCCGCAACTCCTGCATCACCTGCCCCCAGTGCCACCGCAGCCTCATCCTAGATGACCGGGGTCTTCGCGGCTTCCCCAAGAACCGCGTCCTGGAAGGGGTCATCGACCGCTACCAGCAGAGCAAAGCCGCGGCCCTCAAGTGCCAGCTCTGCGAGAAGGCGCCCAAGGAGGCCACGGTCATGTGCGAACAGTGCGACGTCTTCTACTGCGACCCGTGCCGCCTCCGCTGCCACCCGCCCCGGGGCCCCCTGGCCAAGCACCGCCTGGTGCCGCCGGCCCAGGGCCGCGTGAGCCGGCGGCTGAGCCCGCGCAAGGTCTCCACCTGCACCGACCACGAGCTGGAGAACCACAGCATGTACTGCGTGCAGTGCAAGATGCCCGTGTGCTACCAGTGCCTGGAGGAGGGCAAGCACTCCAGCCACGAGGTCAAGGCGCTGGGGGCCATGTGGAAGCTGCACAAGGTGAGTCCTAAGAAGCCCAACCCGAACTCCCCGCGCCTAGCCTCCGATCCTTCCGTTTTTCGCAGACAGCCCTCTCTTTTTGCGCTCAGTGCATCCCGGCTGGGGCGCAATGCAGGTGCCTACAGCATTTGCCTCCCCCGTCTGGTGCATTGCAGGAAGCGCAGGCGGATCTTCAAACCCAGCACACTGGAGTTGACGATCCCCAGAGAGTTGTTGCGGGGATGCCTTAGAGCGGGTCTCCCGGGGGCATTTGGGGTGATCCAGGCGTAGGGTGCCCCCTCCGGCTGCAGACCCGCCGCTTGCGGTTGAGGCCAGCATGCAGGAAAGCCCTCCAGTGCCCAGAGCCGCTCCAGAGCAAAGCAGGCTGCTGGGCTCCAGCCATGGTCCTTAGGGAGAAGGAGGGGGTGGTTGGGTGGTGAGGACCTCGGTGGGCTGGAGCTGTTAGATTGGCAGGCGCCACGAGCCTCCGTGGGGGAGAGAGAGAGCCACGGGTGGAATACTGATGAGTCCGCGCTTGCCCAGACGCCACGAACCTGCTGGAGGGGCTGCCTTGGGGGGTGTGCTTTGCGGTCGGTAGGGAGGCAGAGGAGTAAGGAGTGGGATGGGGAAATCATACGGTCGCCTTGGCACCTGGGCCTGCAGGCTTAGATTCCCACCCTCCCCGGGGGACCTGTGGCTGTAGTAGCCAGACCTGAGGTTAGGTGCAGTCAAGGCCTGAAGGCTGGGCGAGCGTGTCTCCCAGGGTAAGCCAATCCTGCCAACCTCCCACACACCCATTTGTCCAAGGTTCTATCCCTTTCCTCTGTGTAAACTTTGAGACACCTGTTACCGGATTTACCTTTCTGGTCTCTTTTGATGGCGCTTCCACCAAGACCTACATGGCTTGTTCTCCTTTGACTTGCCTCATCAGTCTCATTCCCTCTGCTCCAGCCACCATGTCCCTCATGCTGTCCCTCAACCAACACCAGGCACCTTCTGGCCCCAGAGCCTTTGCATTTGATGCTACCTCAGCCTAGGGTGCCCTTCCCCAAAATGCTATACCCATATCTGAGTGGCTCACTCTCTTGCCTCCTTCAGGTCTTTGCTCAGATGTCATCTTTGCTGGGAGATCTTCCTGACCATAATTGCTGGCATCCATCTCAGACATCCTTTAGTTTCCTTCCTACTTTATTTTTCTCAGTAGAAATTATCACTATCAGGCATGCTATATGTTTTAATTATGTTCTTTCTATATGTCTATTGCTTCCCTCATCTCCCTCCATCCCTATACACTAGAGAATAAGCTTCAAGAGAAAGAGATCTGCCCTAGCCGGTTTGGCCTGCAGACTGAAGGGTCCCAGTTTGCTTTCCAGTCAAGGGCACATGTCTAGGTTGTGGACTCAATCCCAGTGAGGGGTGTGCAGGAGATCAATGATTCTCTCTTGTTGATGTTTCTATCTCTCTCCCTCTCCCTTCCTCTCTGAAATCAATTAAAAAAATTAAAGATGAAAGAGATCTTTATTATGTTATATCCACAAAGCTTGGAAGAGAGGGAACCATTCTTGTGATATACATAAATTTGACTTCTACTTTTTAAGTAATCCATTCAGTCGGGGTGTGACGGGCAGGGCAGGGGTCCAGATTGTTGTAGGAGGGTTTCTTCACATCATTTAATTACAAGCCCAGTAATAAGGCAGGGCCTAAACATGGTGGTCAGTCCCCTCAGCTATGCCCCTACTCAGGATTTCCCAGCATTCCTGAGGACTGGCCTTTGAGAGAGGCCATTGATATTTTATTTACAGAATGAAAAAACACACACACACACACCACTTTCAGCAATCAGGGAGGGTTTCTCAACTCAATTGCATGCAATCTACATTTACAGTCATTTGTGTTCTCATGTATAACCTATTAAACCATATTAGTCTTGCTGGAGATCTAATTTAGCACAAATTTGAGCTCCATTAGGCACATGCCATTATTTTGAAAATGCTCCAATTTAAATGTTTTTAAATGTTTTGAGTGTTTTTGAAAACTTAGTTCACAATCAGTTTTTATTTAATTTTGTGCATTCACTCTTCAACTGCTATGTTGAATTGCCTTTCTATCCTTGGAACTAAGAAATTAACCCTATCTGGAAAAAAAGAACTTCAAGTCACACACTAATTAGGATGGTCAAACAATAGCATTATTTTTCTGTGAACAAGAGCCTAAAGAACTTTATTCATTAAGACTTAAAAAAAACACACCACAAAACCTTTAAATCTGTCTAGCCCTGTGCAGATTTGAAATGTTAAGCCATCTGTTTTATCAGTAATGGGAAGCTGTGAGTAGACTGTGATATGGACTGGATTGAAATTTAGATGCCTGCTAAAAAAGAATAATGTTAAAGCCCTTGAGATTTATATAGGCTAAGAAGGGAATGTTGGTTTGTTTGCTTTTAAAAATAATTTCTTATCTATTCTTATGCAGGTTTTTTCCAAAATAGTAAATAGGTATAAATTTGGTCAGTCAATATCAGGATTATTAAACTGCCAAGAAAAAATAAGAAAGAAGGATGACAGATTTTAACATTCACTTACCATCTGTTGATGAACAACAAACATTACTCCCTCATGTTATCGGTATAATAGGGTAGTTAATGTGTTAATGCTCAATCTTTCTCATATAATAATACCTCGATCCTCACAAAAAGCTCATGGGCTGGAATTTTTATGCTCTTTAAGACATAAAAGAGCAAGATTTACACTAGCTAATTCTCCCAAATTTGGACAATTAGTTCTCTACACAGGTGATTACTAGACCCAAAAGTTTTCATTAATAGTCCACCATGTTAATTAGCCATTTCTAATGACAAAAGAAATCTTATCTATAATAATAAAAGCATAATATGCTTATTAGATTGGACAAATGACCTTCCAGATGTCCTTTGGACGACCTTCCAGGTGAAGCCAGGGCTGAGAGGGCCAAGCCCCTTGTACGAATTTTGTGCATCAGGCCTCTAGTGAATAAATATTTTCCTTGGGCACTAGGTCATTTCTTACTCAAGAAAAAATGACTAAAGTTATTTTTAAGTAGTTTTAAAAACTAGTTAAAATATATTAGTTGTCAATTGACCAAATTAAAATACTTTTCAGATATATATGATCTTCAAAATCCATGAAAAACTGCAATGCAAGAAGAGACATTATAAGATAAATATCTGCTATTAGTTTTTATTTAGTATCAGCACTTGTTATGTTCCTTTATCCAACTTAGGTTGCTATAAAGTATTGCTACACACACAAAACAAATAATTTTGTAGATACTTTTAAATAGATCATTATGATCATTATTATTTCATTGTAATTTTTAGCAATTCACATTCCTAAATCTAACATTATTCTTGAATTCCTGATGTGTTTTATCAATTATTGAATCAGTGATATATTTGTGACCAGTTTTGTGTTTATGCTATAGAGCAAGGATTTACTTTTTCATTGCATCTAAACACTGACTACTCATTTATTCTGAATCTTGACTCAAATGTTATTCCTATCTTCTTTTTTGTTGTTGTTGATGATGATTTGCAATTTACAACATTTTAAAATAAACTGTCAGTTGTTATGCTTTGCTTTTCAAAGTATTTTGGGGGGAAATATCTGCTTTGCAGTATGGTGACACCTCATCAAGTATTTCTGTAGGAAAATGTGTTACTTAATGTAACTAAAATGATATTCAGTTAACTATATATCAGCAGTAAACACAATATTATCTAAGACATTACCGTGGTAAATGTAACAGGTAGCATATGTTCATGTTTTTTTAATTTTTAAAAAGTTTACTTCCAGTCCAGTCAGAACATTCTGTGTGCAATGTAAACATTCTTAGGCATTAAGGAGACTGTTACAGACAAACAAAATGTTCCTCCTTGTACTGAGATGTAATGGAAAGAACTAGATGACAGGAGATCTAGGTTCCAGATCTGATGTTACCACTTCCTTGCCGGTAATGTAAAGCAAGTCTCATAACCTCTCTTGGCTTCCTACCCACAAGGATGCAAAGGAACTAAAACTATATTGTGGAGGGATTTGGGGGGGGGGGGGGGGGAGAAAGTAAATGTTTATAACTTACTAATTTCAGTTTGACACAAGAGAAGGTTTTTTAATAAAACAGAAGTTATTGTCTCACTAGTCAACAACTACTACATAAAAATCTCACTCCCCAGCTTGGAGTACTTTGCTTGCTCCTTCCAGAATACAGAGTGTGGTACAAAGTCTGGATGGTGGCCTAAAAGAGTGAACTACATCATTATAGATCCAGAGAGAAAACTCAGTTAAGCTCAGGGAATAAGAATGCTACATAAAGGTTTATTTGTATATTAAACGAAGGTTTCTTGTTTTTCAATAATGAAGCTAAAAATGATAACTGACATGACTCAGGTTTGGTTTTTTCCCCAGGTTCTCTAGTGAAGGTATTGTTATTATATTGAAGTATTATAAATTGTTCTTCCTATATATGCCACAAAAAGATGCTATTAATTGGAATTCAGGGTCAAATCACAGTTTGCATAAAGTAAGAGAAAATGATAACTGCCATCTGTTATCTATAATAACAAAATGATAATATGCTAATTAGACTGGACGTCTTCTGGACGTCATTTTGAACATCCTTCCTGAGGAAGCTGGGGATAGAGGGAAGCCAGCCTGGGTCCCGGGTGCCAGAGTGAGGGGGCAGGGGGGGACAAGGCCTACTCTTGCATGAATTTTCATGCATCGAGCCTCTAGTTAAGTAATAAGATAATGCACAGACAAAATTTACCTTTACCATGAGTATAATAAATTGCACTTCTCTCCCCTAAACACTTCTCAAAGTGTGTGTATGCATATAACTGAACCTTGACACACAGATAAGATTCATTGCAAGACAGATGTTTAAGAATGAAATAGTTCTAAATAATATCATTTTTGTCAGTTTCATGAGGGATTGTTGGTTATAAACTCACTTAGGTGATCTCGGAGGAATTCATGGGAAATGAAACA